GAAACAGTAATTCAGACAGACATGGTATTTTTAAGTAAGATGGTGAGATTTGCTTTTCCATATGTAAAAATTACATGGTGTTTTTCACTAAGAAAAAATAATCTATGTATAAAACGGACGGGTATCATTTTTCTATTTCCTTACTTTCATACTCCCTTTGCATCATCTGTATAAATATTCGTATAAAGATAGTGGTTCTTTAACCTCTTATAAAATGAGAGGAATTATCCTGGCTAATTTTGAGAAGAGGTGCATCTTTTGCAATAGTGAATGTAGAAACTCACTGTCATTGAATGACTTCCAGCTCACAGTGACTGTACATAGGGTTTTTCACGACTGTAAATGTATCTGGGAAAAGAAAGCCTCATTGCTTCTGTGACTGTTGTTTCACTAGGAGGGTCTGGCGGATTTGAACTGTTGACTACCAGTAGCAGCCCAATGAATAACCCACTACACCACTCACGTTCCTAATGACTACAAAAGAAGGTGTCCTCATGTGTCTTCTATTTCTTTCCATTACATACCAACGCAACAGCATGACTACTGGTACATACTAATGAAAAACCCATGATATATATGTATGTATGTATGTATGTATTGTATATATATAAATGTTATATATACATTGTATTTAAGGAATATGAAATTTTCACTAAAATAATAACATAATCAATTTTTAAATCTCGCACAAACCACAAACACAAGCAAAACTCTAGAATGTGCCTTCTCCATGCTCTTCAAAGGTGTTCAGATATCCAAATTTTGGAATACCATAGAGAGTTCAAGACAATTTAACAAGTTTACAGTTTGGTACTATTTCCTTGTCACAGTTGCTATTTTATGCCCAACTTTCACTTTCCAAACTCTTTCTCCTGTAAAATAAAAGGGGTTCCTTTCATTAACACTGGAAAGTAATTTGCATAGTGAAGCAGATCAGCCTGGGAGGTAGGTTCTTCCTGAAGGAAAAAAAAATGTAACTTTCCATAGGAAGCCAGTAGGCGGTGCTAACTCTTGGGTACTACTGCATTCAAAGATTTCAAACCAAAGCCTAATAGAGCAGGTGATCAGTTTAAAAGCCACAGGATTCCCAGTGTGATTCATGATAGAGGGATTTGAAAAATTGAAATGTAGTGGATAGAACTTTAATATGATATACTATATTGAAAAAAGGATATCACATACATAAAAACATGACAAAGACTCTTAGTATGATCTTTATTTATAGAATTAGAACACACAACTACCTGCTTATCTCCACATTGAAACCTATAAATGTCTTCTTCAGCCCATATGATTTCAACCTCATTTGGCCGCATTATACCTTACAGTTAGTACCACGCCTCAATCTTAAAGCATGAACTATCTCAACCTTAGGGAAGCGACTGATTCTCCTAATGAAAATGTTAAGTTTGGTCACCAGGTTCTTTCCCTCTTTAAAGATAAAGAACTATTCTGAAAAGAACTAAATGAATCATCATACAAAGATTATTATACATAGATATTATCCTGCATTTTTGAAATAAATGAGAATTTCCACTTATTACAACATCCTGGTAAGACATAGAGTATGTTATAATTTGTTCATTTTTTAATGTTTTATGCTAGCTACTTAAACCATTTGAAAGACTACATTTCAGCAATGAGTTCACTACCCAGAAAATGAAAACATTAATGCTTACTAACATATTTGCATAAAATCTGAGAACTATGCATTGCAAGATAACAAGTCTGATAATCAACAGACAAGTGATATAAACTAAGTGATGTAAA